TTTACGTGCCTCCCTAGATTGAAGCCGGTGTGTATTCCGGAAGCAGACTGTGGAATCTTCGCGCCTCGTGGTCCTCGTGATGGAATCTCATTCTCGCCTGCGAGAAGAACGTTTCTCTCTCTAGAGTGTAGGAAGATTATTGCTTCATCGTTCCTCGATGCGGTCCAGCCGCATTCTCATTTTAATGTTTCACTGATGGCGCTTGCATCGTGTCGTCGAATCAAGATTAAAGATTGGAATCAAGAGGGGTAACACGTTGTAAATGAGGGAGAAAAAGATCTTGTTGGGAGAGATCATCAATGTGTATAGATACTTTTGATAATGTTAATAATTAATGTTAAGAAATTTAATAGAGAGAAGCTATGGATCCTCGACTTGGAGATAGAGGAAAGTCTCCAGTTCGATATTCTTCCCTTCTGTCAACTGAGAAATTGGGCTGGAATTTTTCGTTATTATCCCAACTTATTAACACCTTCGTTCAGATTTCGTAAGAATTTTTAACGCCTTTCGAGATCTTCGATTCTTCTCACGGTTCACATCTGGCGGCACGCGTCTCTGGTAGATTTATATTGGAATAGGGAATCTTTATTCTCCAGGAATAAAAGTAATTTTGCTAATTTCGCCGTTTCAACTACACAATAATCTCAAAGCTCTCTCGAACGATTAAATTAACCTAGGCTTATCCAAGTTTTACGCGTATGTAAAACGACGAGGATAAATTGTTTATCGTTGATATTATTACGCTCTGGTGACTTCAAAATGTCAATCATAAATTACACACTAATAATAAGGATGTAATATTGTATATATAATATATATATAATCTATGGAAGATCGAAGGAAAGGCAAGTATTGGCCTTCTAAAAAATATCGAATCGTTTTATTATTCTATAAACAAGCTCACTTTTTCGATCTCTGGAATCCTTTAAAGCCGTTTCTTTATATAATATTAAGCATTATATCAAGGAGAGAGAAATAAACGTTGGTTGATGATATCTCGACTCGCAGCTGGAACGAAGAATGTAGCAGGACCGAACTCGAGAGAAATAATCGTGCATCGCGTCTGTTTTCCCTCTGCCCTCGTTTTTTCCCCCCCTCCCACTTAATACACCAAATAGAAAAGGCAGGGATAAATAACGTTGTTGATGCGAGCCACTCGCTCGCCGATTTACGACCTCCTTCGAGATCTTCTCAACTTGGCTGCACACTCGATATGATGCACGCCGTGTGGAAACAGGCGACTTCTTATTTGCGCGTAATTCGAGGATACAGCGGGCAAGATTTAAAATTAGACGCATCTCTGACATACTTTGCGCAGCCACGACGACGTGAAAAGCTAACGTTACGTAATATTGCATCGGGCCGAGAAAACAGAAGCCTTGTTATGGACGCGACAAACAGCTTGTTCGGCCTGAGGAAATAATAGAAAATAATGGAAAATAATTAAAATCGAGAAATATATTAGATTGTTTAACGTGATTGAGGATGGAAATCAAAAAGATGCAATTCTTGAGATAGGGAAGAAAATCGTGTTTTACGTAAGAGGTGTTTTAAGGTAAGATAAAAATTCGTAAGAGGATCGATTTGGAATTGGAGATGCGATATTTTTATATTTATTATTTACTATTTTTTAATCAGGAAGAAAAAAGAAGGAAAAAAACGTGTTTGTAGTTTGCTCTTAAGATGGTCTTAATCGTGGCTTATGAGATACATTTTCATAAATTTTGAGAAAAATTCGTAAGAGGATCGATTTGGAGATGCCATATTTTTTATTTACTATTTTTTAATCAAAAAGAAAAAAAGAAAGGAAAGAAACGTGTTTGTAGCTTGCTCTTAAGATGGTCTTAATCGTGGTACATTTTCATAAATCTTGGGAAAAATTCGTAAGAGGATCGATTTCGAATCGGAGATACGATATCTTTTTCACGAAACCGGTGAAAAACGAAACTCTCCAAACTTACTTTTTTTCATCGTCACTTACTCTTAATCTAACGAGAGATCGTCGAGCTCGATTCGCCGTAAGAGTTCCCCTCTGTAAACCATGTGGCGCCAATCTCTCCAGACGCGTCTATAGATGCGGTATTCATCAACAATTATCCTCTGATGTAGATTTAGAACCGGTCGATCATCTTCCAATCCAAATCAAATCATCTCTCCTTACTCTCCTCGAACCAAGAGAGGAAGAAACGGCTCCTCGAAACGTGGAAGGAAACGAATTTTCCCGGTCCCATCGACCGTCAGTTCGAGCCGTGAAACGGTAAAAAAAGGATGACCGTTAGCCGCATCGACTCTTTACTTGCTCTCTCGAATTCATAAACTTCGGTTGAGGAAGACGAGTCGGCGCGGGTGCGCCGGTGGAGAAAAGCGGCGGTGGAGAAGTTTGGAAGCGAAGTGGGGGAGGAGGGGGCCGCGGGGGCGTTGGTCGTCGAGAAGGTGGCCCGTCGGAAAGAATTCCAGAAAACCTGTCCAAACGAGGCTTTTAAGTCTCGACTGTCGCATAGTTGGGCGGGCGGCACGGCCCAAGCCCCGAACGGATGAAAGCGCGCCCCTCTAATTGAGCGGAGGCTAGATAAAAACGACCGCTTCTTCTTTTTATTTTCGGCTCGAGTTCGGCTCGAACCGTGAGACGATTCCGGATATCTTCGATCCATTGTTTCATCGAGCACATCGATGCCTTTGTACCTCTTGTGATTCCTCGACGGACCACCCAGAGTCGTCCCTCCCCCCAGGAGAGGGAAATCGCGATAGGAAAAATAACTTTAAGTTATTTACTAAGAATTTCGAATAAATTTGCTTTCCGCCGGTTATTTCCGATTATCGTTACGTTGAGCGATAAATTATCGAATATATCCGTAAAATATTCCAACCGATCAAAATTTTCCCCATTCGTCGCTATTTACGAAGTTATCGAAAAAAATATGTGTTTCCAATCGTTCTCGAGAAGAGAATTTTCGGGAGAAAAAAAGGAGGAGGGGACACGTGTCGAATAATATTCTGTTCCCATTAAATTTCATCAAAATGCGCAAATTCAAAATACGTGTTATTATTCCTCGAGCAAGATGAATAAATATTCCATTCATTCGCGGATATTAATCGTAAATTAGCATGGAGACATGCTCGTAGACCGCGACTTTCTTTGCCCCGTGTTCTCCTCCTCACCCTGTCACGCGAGCCCTCCTCTTTGTTTCCTCGTCGACGGTATATGCATCGCCTCCACGAGCGAGTCCACGCGCGCCCGATGCAAAATACACGTACAAAGGAATATCGTATCGCGGGGCGATGCATAGTGGATTTATACTGGGAGCGGAGGCGAGATACGTGGCCGCCTTCGGCATTCGGGACAATGATAAAATAATAAATCGCCGCCCTCTCCAACCGGGGCCTCCCCGCAGAGAGCCGAGAGATATTTCGAGGCTGGAAATGGGATTCGAGAGACACGCGCTACGGGGTGCACCACGTGTATATAGCATATCGTATAGATATTGGATTCGAGGCGTTTTCTTTCACCAAGCTATAGTTTTTGACGGTGTAGGTTTTTCTCGCCCCCTGAAAAAAATTTCGCCCGATGAACTGGCTCGATAAAAGGATTATCGATTAGCCGAATTGCGAATTCTTTCCCTTTCAGGGAAATTTATCGCGATTGGATAAGGGGGATTTCATAATTTTGTGCAATGGTGCACCAGTGGGATGTGCGTTTTAGGAGAATTAATTTCTTTTGAGTCGGATTATAAATAATTATAACAGCGTTTCAAAAGTGATGTTTTTTTATCTTATCGTTTTCGTTGCGCTGGCCTCGTTGGAACGATTTCAAATACGTTGACATACTTTGAAAAACGAAAAAATATATATATATATATTCGATAGAATTTATTTTAAGAAGAGAATTATATATTTTCAAGAAATATAAAAAAAAGTTTTCCTTTTTCCTCGTTTATTAAGACCAATTTCGAATATTTCGACGTGAAAAAGGCTCGACAGAACAATTTTAACTGGAAGAGATAACGCTTTGATCTGTCCCTCGAGAATTTTTTTCTACCTATCCCCCTCCCTCTATAGAAAAAAATAATCGAACGAAAAAGAGCCGTGGCAATTAGTAGCGATATCACGGTCCCGTGTGTGCATCCTTGGGAAGACAGATAATGGAAGCCAGAAACGTTTACACGTTCGTCGAACTCGCGGCTGCTCTAAAAACCGTTCTATCGAATTATATCGAAAGGTACAGTTGACCACAGTTGCATTCCTCGATACCGTAAATATCGCTTGTCCACCGATATTTACGTGGACGTTGCTCGTTTATATTCCCCAACGCTCTCTATTCCCTTGGGAGAGGGGATTGGCATCGCGACCACGATATCGAATAGGGAAAAATTCGTAGGAAATCAAGGCGATAGAAAAAAAAAAGAAAAAAAAAAGAAGAGAAGAAAAATAGAGACGAAAAAAAGATAGGTAAATCGTGGTGAGGATAACGAAGGACGCACGGTTATCGACTGTGTACAGTGTAGAATACAGTGTGTGCACATGTTCGTGGGCGGATATCTAACACGTGGAATTCATCGAGCTTCCATATCGGTTAAATAAAATCTACCGCGTAGACGTTACGATCGTATCGCATTGAAATGGACAGACTGTGTATTTAGAATGGAATGAATTAATTAGATGTCGCGATATACGTTGAACTTTGCGGATATTTCGATGAATATCTCGTGGGAAAGGTCGTAACTTTTGCAATCGTGTAAACGAGTTTAGTATAGAGGGCGCGGAAATGGGTTTAACGAGTTTGGCGCATGGAGTGGAATACAATTAGGCGTAAAGTCAACTGCGAATCGCTTTATTCGCTAGAGGAAACGATTAGATGAGAAGGCGTGAGAGAGGGGGAGAAAGAATGTGTTTAACGCCACGTTTCGAGCCTTTGTGCTGGTTGGAATACAACTGGCGCGTTAATTAGAGAGATTAAAAGCGTGCAGTGTTTGAGAACGTCGAACGGTTTATTTTTGTTTCAGTTGTCTGGATTGGTGGTGGGCGGGATCGGTATCTGGACGGTGATTTCGAAGCACAGCTACGTGTCCCTGATGACGACCTCCACGTATCCGACGCTAGCCTACGCTTTGATCATCGCAGGTGTCCTGGCTGTGGTCGGTAGCTGGCTCGGATGCGGCGGTGTAACTTCTGAAAATAGATGCGTACTTCTCATAGTAAGTAAATACTAATAATAGTAAGTAATTCCACGAAGCATCGCGAATAAACTCTACTCCAGATTCGCTCGACTTCTGCTCGCTTTCGTAACTTGAAAAATTAAGGAATTAATTTTTACACCTCAATACAACCTCAGAATACGATCAAATCTCACTTGCTCTACATTTTTTCGATTCAAATATCCAATAATACGAATAATTGCTTTGGTAAAAAACGATCAAAATTTGGGTGACGAATTGGGAAACGAAAAAAAAAACTCGTTAAAACTGGAGGATCATCGTGATTACTTCTAATGGAATCGATTAGATTGATCCACCGTTCGTAAGAAAACGTTCCATTCGAACTTATATATCCACTGATCGATCGGAATCGATCGAATCGGAAACACGGCTCGTGCATCATGGAAGAATTCATCGCTTTGCCGGGAACATATATTTACACCGTTGATGGTAGCACGGTGTCTCTTATCGATCATGCGCTTCCGTGTCGGCCATTTATCAGGGTGCCACTATTGTCTGATTAATTAATTCTCCGGTCGGGCCAAATGCTCTGCGCCGCGAGAGGAGAAGGGGGAGGAGGGGGAGGAGAGACGGAGGCAAAGATAAAGCCGAGGATATAGGAGGTTGGAAACCAGCCGCACGAGTAACTCGAGCTATCGCTTTCAGAATTGCCTACAGCCTTGGTAGCGGATGCTCTCCTTGCTAAAGGAGAGAGGAGGCGATCGTTCGCCAAAGTTTCGTGGATTCCATTCGACGAGGCGACGTGCATAATGGATTCGTTTCACGAATCGGCCAGAAACGTCCCTCTTTTCACCCCCCCTCTCCATCTTGCTTCCCAAACTTTTCCACCAAAATTTCGTTCGAAATCATCTCGCAACTTTGTCGCAGCGGAAGAAGAAAAAGAAGAAGAAGAAGAGGAAGAAGAGAAGACAATAGTCGCGATGGTAATTAAAATGGCGCGCCAACTATTGAGAGCAACTTTCTCTCGCGATGACGCATTTGAAAAAAGATTTCGCCAAGTTCCGTTTCCGGGACAGCTTCGAGAAATGCTCGCATCCTCGCTTCTTTTTATGCGGCTGAACCCATTGCATTATTGCAATGGAGAGAGCTTTGTGAGCTCGCTTTCATCACGAAAACGAAGGAACTGCGTAAGCTTAAAAAACCGCTCGTTTACCTTGTTCTCATCGTTATCGATCGTTCCTTCTAATCGCGGATCCCAGCCGATCGTTGTACGGATCTCTGCTATTTTTTTTTTTTTTTTTTTTATTTCTACCACCTTCAAAGGTGGCTCAAAGCTAAAGCTGTTCTTTTTTTATTTCGCGTAAGATGCGCCTGGTAAGGCGTAATAAATACGCGGTTACAAGGTCGATTTCACCTTAAACGCATAGTCGATTAGCTCCCACTATTATCAACCCTCGACAAGTGGCCTCCCCTTGTTGGTCCCCTTGTTGATCCTCGCGACAGGATCGAACGTAAGATAAAGGAAAGCACAGAGAAGCTGGTTTTAAAAATATACTTTGATTTTTCATTAAATAAAATTACTTATTAAGATATATCTTCTAAGATGGAAGACACGTTTCAAGAATCAGGTTTTAAAGTTCGATCAATGGAGGGAAACGATTTTATTTTACGAGAAAATAAAATTATAAGAATAATTATAATAGTGATGAAATATGGTTTTCCTCGGTTAAGAGAACGAATACAGACACGGTAATTGAGATACGTATCTCTCAGCGATAAAAGTCACTCGTCCGTATTAAACTCATCATCTCTGGTGCTGCATTGAATGCAAGCCAGAATGAATGTGGCGTTGAATATAATATTCAATATAACGCGTCCATTATTGCAATATACAAATATACATTGTTATTACAAAATTATGTTATCGAGCGACGTTACGTATCACAAAGAGTATCACAGCAAACGTGTACAATAAGAGATATAGAAGCTTTCGTTTTATATTTAAAAGCTTACAACCGTTACGAGTAGAAAGAAAAACGACTCGAAAGCTTGAATTCTTACTATTCGTACGACGACGATTGATCGCAAAAAAGGATGTGGCAACGTGGCACACAGGAGGAGTATACCGAAATCTGGTGATTTAACGCTCTTTAATGGAATTCGCGGAATGGAATCTTGTCCGCGTTTGGAAAATTTATCGTACTTTTTTTTATCCCACCGAAAAGAGATCGCTTCGACTGCTCATAGCTGGAAAATGCCACTACCTCTTTGTAAAACTTTGTCCGATAAAACGATGCAATGAATTTTCGCTGGATGCATCAAGCTCGAAAGACGCCAAAGAATTACGTTTCAGTGGAAAGTTTCGCCCTTCGAATCTATCTTGTTCCCATCCGTCTGAAAACTGTTAGCATCCCCCCTGCTGAGCTATAAATTGTGCTTAAACGAGAATTAGCACGAGGGCCGGTATCTCGAGCCACCATTTGAGGCTGCAGCACCACCTTGCTCAACTGGCTCACCCTTAATTCCACATAAATGATAGTTTAATTCCGCAAACAACCCTTGCTAACCACGGAAGATACGGGGTTCTTTTTCAACGTGGATGGATCCCCATTCATCGTCGCATTGTCAGGATCACGATTTAAGCAAGATCAACGCAATGAATCTTCTCGTTTCTGCTCGTTAATAATTATTGTTCGTCGATTATTATTTTCTTCGATGAAATGGTAAAAGAGAACGACAAATCGTCATCGTGAGCCAATATTACCGCGACATCGTGGATGAAATTTATCGCATGTTCGATGCTTTTACGGTGCGCAGGAAGCATTTTTAAGCCGCAGGAAGCATTTAAGAGGTTACGTTTTCCGCTGGGTAATAGCGGAGCAACACCTTTCCCACTTTTCTGACGAGAATTTACTTTCACCCTTGCGTCTGTCACGATCTGATCTTAGAGAGAAATTGCAGAAAATATTTTTATATTTATCGATCGTATTTCTTTGAAACGTAGTTTTAAAAGGTTTGATTCAACGAACTAATTGGAATAACAAGAATTGATTAGTAAATATACGTTTCAATTTTTTGAAGAATTACATTCTGAAACATTGTTGAGCGTTGTAATCCATTCACGATTTTAACGTATAATGTGTCTTCTGTCTGTTCAATTTAGAAACCGCATTAGAAATCGTCGAATTGATTCAGCCTTGAATCAACCGCATCGTGCAACCGCGATAATTTACCGTAATTCCGTGCTCCTCCTATCAAAATTATCACCAATTACCCGTCGAACAGCTATCATAATCGCGGCGAAGGTCGCATTCGATCGGAATACGCCAATTCCACGATCATATTCGTCCCTAACGATAATTCCGTCGATTAAGAAATTTTGTTATTTCTCCAAAATGTAATAAATAAACAAATGACAGAAATATATTATTATACGAGATAGGTTAAAATTAATCCATAAATGTGAACGGTAAAATTAATTTTAATACAATTTTTGCAAAGTTTTGCGAATCAAATATGGCGGTAAAAAATTAATTAATAAAAATAATAAAAAATTAATTAATAAAAATAATTTATAATGATTTAAATTAAAATAAATGTCATATATGAAATTTTTATCATACATTCTTATCGCGTGGAACAATGTGGAAATGTATAAAAAATCATTACATCGTGAGAATTTTTAATATTGAAGTAATCACTCAACTTCAAGTTTAATTTAAAAAAAAAAACAAAAAATTTGTCTATAATTTATAATAATTTAAATTAAAATAAATGTTACATATGAAATTTTTATCATACATTCTTATCGCGTGGAACAATGTGGAAATATATAAAAAATCATTACATCGTGAGAATTTCTAATATTGAAGTAATCACTCAACTTCAAGTTTAATTTAAAAAAAGAAAACAAAAAATTTGTCTATAATTTATAATAATTTAAATTAAAATAGATGTTTAATATGAAATTTATATGAAATTATTATATGATTATATGATTATTATAAATAATTATTATAATTTATATGAATTAATATGAAATTTTTATCATACATTCTTATCGTATAGAACGATCTGGAAATGTATAAAAAATCATTACATCGTGAGAATTTTTAATATTGAAGTAATCATTCAACTTCAAGTTTAATTTAAAAAAAGAAAACAAAAAATTTGTCTATAATTTATAATAATTTAAATTAAAATAAATGTTACATATGAAATTTTTATCATACATTCTTATCGCGTAGAACGATCTGGAAATGTATAAAAAATCATTACATCGTGAGAATTTCTAATATTGAAGTAATCACTCAACTTCAAGTTTAATTTAAAGAAACAAAAAACTTGTCTATAATTTATAATGATTTAAATTAAAATAAATGTTACATATGAAATTCAAATGTTTCTTTAAAAATTTACAGAATATTTCTCAATTATTGAAATATTGACCGATCAATTCTTTGCCTATATATATATATTTCATTTTAAACAAAAGTTTAAAAAAGAGGATTAAAAATCTTAAAACAATTATATTTTTACGTACATATGAAAATGAATTTTGTTTAATACACGTCGTTTGAGCCTGCTGTTGCGTCACGTATCTCGCAACATATCGTCGAGAGCAATAATTAGAGCAAGCGCTCGGCTATTAACGAGCAGCCGTGGCGCACAATTAGCACTCCGTACCGCGAGTGATTCCGATTTCTTTCATTCTGAATGACGCGTCGGATCGGGCGGACAGGTCTCGACGCCTCTGGACTGTTTTCGAACCAGTTCCAGAGCACACCGATCGAAGCGCTCCAGGCGAGACCGCATTGCTTGCCAAGCATCCAGCCGGCCGATCGCGCCACTTACGTCCAATTTATGCCCGGACGAGGTCTCGCTAAGAAAATCGCTCTCCTCGAGGGGCGAAGTCGATCTCCACCCGATTTCCAACCACCTCGAGCCCCTCTCCTATCCCACAAGTTTCCTATCCTCGCTTCTCGAAACTTCGAATCGTTTTCGATCGACGAAATTTCTCCACCTTCTCCCGCGAAATT